GACAACACAACCAGGAAAAAAAGGCCACACACACACAATAAGTCTTCCTTTTATAGGAAAATTTTAATAGTTATTCAATGTTCTACATTTTACAGTAAATATACAATTACAAACTTGGCTTAGTTATAGTACTAAGATCACTAACTGATCTTTTAAAAAAACAAAACAAAACAAAACCCTCAACAACAAAAAAAATAAACAATAATAAAAAAAAGAAAAAAAAAGAGGAAATTAAAAAAAGAAAAAAAAAAAGAAAACAGATTTACACTTCATATCACAAGCCTGACGCAGGTCCTTCACTCTGGACCAAATAGCTAACATACAATTCACTTCTCTCAACGCTGAACAGACGTTGGGCTTCAGTTTCAAACACAACCTTACGGTAACAGATATACCATAGCATGTGCAAACTGGGTACCAAACTAAAACTTCCAAAGATGGGGTTGTTCATCGTACTTGATCCAGAGGGATGCAAGCAGTTTTTTTTTTCTTCTTCTTTTGTTTTTTTGTTGTTTTTTTTGGAAGACAAGGAATTTCCACTTTTTGCATCACATTTAGTGTCAAATCAAACTAAGAGATATCTCTGACAAGTTGAAATTAAAAAGCTGCGGCAGAACATTGAAGGCATTTAAGAGCCTACTATTCACTTTGATAGTAGTGTTTTAGTTTATACTTGTGAAAAACTAAGACTTTGCAACTGCAAGGCAAAAACAAAAAACAACAAAAAAAAAAGAGAAGGGGAGGGGAAATGGAAGAGAGGATAGGTGTTATGAAATGCTTCTAGTCACATTTTCACTGTCAAGATAAAAAAAAGAAAGAAAATAAAAGCAAAAAAGGTTTGGAAATCTACAGGTTGACGGATGACGCGGTGAAGCAGAGTCACGGTTAAGACAAGTTTGCACACCCCCCCTCCTCACGCTGCAAAGTGTGCAACTGCCCATTTTCACTTAAGTGCAAATCGAAATAAATGAAACAAGGAATGGAGTGAAATGAGGAAGCAGTTTCATCACTCTGGAAAAAAACTAAACAAAACTGAAACTGTTCCCAGCCTCTTCACTGGGTCTCCACATTAAAACAAAATAATTTGTTTTTGAACTTTGTTCCACAATCAAAAAAAAAAGGGTCAAAAATACAGGTCTGTATTTTTAGTGATGTTCTGGTTGTCCAGACATCTAAAACTATCTCCCAATAAACCTACAGCAATTTGAGAAAGTCTTCAAAGGTGACATTTAATTGTGAGTTTTACATGCAAATGATTAAAAAGGCTCAAAGCCATCAGACACAGATGCCACATTAGACTTTGTCACCAGCGACATCTAGTGTTTAAAAAGGCATCGATGTAACAACCATCGCTTCTGCAGTTCAGACGGGGAGGTGAGGGATGCAAACTTTAGGCAGGTTGGCACAGAAAGGTATGAGAGTTTAAAAAAAAAAACCCCAAAAAACAAGTGCTAAGAGTGAAGACGGGAGGAAACAATATATGATCCGACATCATTTTGCATCCCTGAATGTGATGAAACCAGATGTGTAATGGAATGCAGAGTGGGCACAAAGTGAAAACGGGGGTAAACCCAGAGAGGAGAGGAGCAAAAGTTAAGAGTCAGGCAGACAATATGCATCAACAGCGTGAGAAACAGGACAGCAATACGGGAAAAAAACCCAAAACTAAACAGATTCACATGAAGCCAGACGCAACGAGGACTCAGAATTCACCACTTAGGAGAACAAAGTAATATTTATCGAACAACAACTGGTGAAATATGGCACAGAACAAAGGGCACAGAGGCTGAGGGTTTTCAAGACATCATTCAATACAATTCTTTGAACCCACAAAACAGAAACAGACAGAAAAAAAGGAAAACTGATTCTAAAGGCATCCATTTCAGTTCTGTCACAGATCCTCTTTTTTAGCTTTTTTTTGTAACATATCGTAACGTCTGTAATTTCAATGGGAATCTGGTGATAAGAAATCCCCCAGTTTTATGTAAAGACCTTGTGTGAACTCCACTCCCTCCTATAGAAACGGATATGAAGCGGACAGATGCAGAAGAGGTAAAACAAAAAATATATATAACAAACTAATA